CCCACATTCCACCAAGAAGAAGCATAGTCATTCCTGTCACAGCCAGAGCTCTCAGCTACCTATCTGGCATCATGTCTGCCTGTCTCTTCACAGCAACAGAGCACTAACAACTGCACAGAAGAAAAATTCAAAAAAAAGTTTATTTCAGGAAAGTTCCTCGTATGGTTTTGAGGCAGATACCACCTTGAAACATAGGCTGTCAGAAATCTACAATCTATATACTTGCAATTTCTCCATAGGTCATTTGAAAATGTCCAGTCTTGATCAGATCTTTTAAGTCTGTGGACTCCTCACACTAGTTACTTCACCAGACATCATTTGTGATAGTGAGAACATCAAGATTGCTAACTATGACAAGTAATGAGATGTATTTTCTCCATACTTTGTCTAATTAGGATGCTAAAATGGATGTTTCCTTTATGGGATTTATTTTGAAGCAGAGTTGGGGTCTTATTAAAGGTATGTTAATATAGACTTAGACATGAGAAAGGAACCTAGAGAAAGAAATACAGTCATAAAAAATATGCACTCAACCGCATAGATTTTGACTTCCTTTAAGGGTTTCTTCATTTGTATATTAAAGAAGTTTTAACGTTCTGAAGTGACCAGGAAGAAGACAAACAAATGTGTTTAACTGCTTACAAACAATGGTGCTTATATTTATTTACAGTAGATTTTCTTTTTTCTATAGACATTCTATACTTGTACATCAACATAATTTCTACTTTATGCATTTTATATTTCTCATTTCAATTCTTTCCTCAAAAACAACCTTGTCAAAGCAATTAAAAAATTCTCCATCGGTATTTCCATTAGCAGAAAACCACCCCCAAGTTGAATGAATCTACAACACACACGGTTTGACAACCTTTAGTCTTAGTACAGGTATGGCAAGTGAGAGGAGTTGTGTGAAAGCTAGCCCTATGGATGAGCGTGACTAGAAGCAGCAGTTTTAGGACATTTTTCTAGAGCAGAACTTGAAAGCAGGATTTTTGCATATTCTGGAGCCCATAATACCACTCCCAGCATGCATGCTGCAACATATATTGCTCACTCTGTGTTGGTAGATGATGATGATGATGATGATGATGATGATGATGATATTATGGTTCTAGAAAGATAAGAAATGTCATGTGTCTATCAAATCACCGCATTGATAGTATATTGAAGGCTGAACATTTGATTGATTTGAGAAGAAAGCAAACAGGGCTGGACCTTGGAAGCCTTGGTTACCAATGTCAGTCTGGTTACTCACAAATATTTATCAAATTGCTTTCCTTCTCTTTGGAAATCTACATTCCATGTATAAAATAATAGCATTGATTAAATCTTTGATCTTCAGACTAAGACACCTCAGCTGTTTACTAAATGCGCTAAGGGGAACAAAGAGAATCTTTGTTCTCTCAGATCAAAGTAAGTCCTACTACTTTTTATCACTCACACGTGAGTTCATGTGCACAAATATAATAAAAGAGCTTAGTAGTCATAGTTTTCTCAATTTGTTAAAGTAAAAATAAAAATCCAACTAGACTATCCTCATGGGGCTTAATGTCTGTATTGTTCCAGAACTCTCTAATATCTAATATAGAAAACAATGATCTTCCAAGAGCATGCATTATTTTCTTTGTTTTCTAGAGGAAAAATGTTGTTAATATTGTTGTCATTACTGACAACGGCCATCTAACTCTATCCTCCTCAGCCTTAAGACACAAAGCCTTGCCTAAAGGAAAAGTGCTAACCACAAGTAGTAGGAAAAAATCCCCTGCTATTATCTGTCTTCTAATGAAAATCCTACAAGAATACTCTAAAGTGGAATTGAATCCTTAAAGAAAAAGAAAAGAACCACATAAGTCCCTAGGAGTCTTTTCCTTTTTTTTCCAACTCTACTCAGAGTCTATTTACTAGAAATGTGACTCATTTACAATTATAGGGAAAGATAAAGTTCAGCAAATAGCCCATCCATGTGTCTCAGTAACTCTCCAATAAAAGACACAGGGTCATTGACAATTGATGTTTCATATGATAAACTACCTTAATTCATTTAAGGAAGTGAAAGCAAGAACTATATCACAAGTCTGTGAACTACCAGTTTCTTGACTTTAAGGAGAAATTACAGAACAATTGAAGAACCTATCTGTTCATTAACAATGATTAAATAGTTTCAAAGTTGGAATCAGTATACCTTGATTTGGTTGTCATCATTTTAGATATGTTATTAGGTACACTTATTTAAAGGATGTTTTGTAAAATTGTAATGTGATGCTGCACATTTGCAACTACTAAACCCAGACATAATAAGATCACTTTGGAGCTAGAGGTGTGTGTGACTCGGTGGAAGAGAACTTGCCTAGCATGATGTAGACCCCTATTCCACATACGCAAAAGCAAGAAGGTCTCTCCAAGCCTCTTAGGAAAAGTACAAAGCAATGTGATTTGGGACTTGAAGTTCCAAACTATCTGTGGGCATTTTTAAGATGATAAATATATAAGTTTTAACATTATGATAATTTTTGGACAATTCTTCTCTCTCATTTTACTTACAAATAATTTTTCTCTTTTTATGATTTTCACACATGCATAGCTCTTAAATCATTTCTTATTTAACTGACTGATTTCTTTTCTTCTTGTTTTTACAAAAAACAATTGTGCACTGAACTGCACAATTATTCCAGTTTATTCTGCTATAATAATTCTCATCAAATCAGCCCTTCATTCTTCATCCAAGCACACATTATATAGTAATGATATATTAACTGAATGTACCATTTCAATGTTAGCTTCAGTCTTAAGAACCCCAGGGAGACTGACTTCTTTGTAAAACTAATGCATGAGAAGAATCAAGTATAAAAATTCTAAGAAACTGGCATAGGCTCTGTCCTTCATGGCCACTATCTCAGAGTTGCATGACAAAAAAAAAAGGTACTCAAAATCAGTTAAAGTCCTTTTTGGGCCCTACAATTGGTAGCTGATATTCAAAGACGATTATAAATCATACTGACCTATATAAGCACATAGCAACAATGTACTAGGAATCATTCTTATCTTACTAAAGTTATTCCCTGTCAAAATACATGATTACACCTTTAATCCCAGCATTCATGAGGCAGAGACAGGCAGATTTCTATGAGTTTGAGGCCATTCTGGTATATAGAGTGAGTTCCAGTACAGCAAAAGCTACACAAAGAAACTCAGTCTTGAAAAACCAAAATAATAATGATAATAAAAGTAATAACTATGATTAGAATTACTAATATTGTCAGTTTCCATAGTAACTCAAATTAATACTATTTTCACCTGGAACAATAAGACAGAAATTGATTATTCCACACATATCAAACGTGCATTGAAACAGAGTGTTGTCATATGTGTGATACCCATAATGAAAAAATATGAAGACTATTAATATCCAAACTATACAAAATCAGCCATGTATGAAGATTTTACTCATACACTGAAGTAAGCAGATATGAGGTCACAAAAAAGCAGCACACCGAACACATCATCTTTCTACTTTTTATGGCTTTAATTTTTTTAAGTTTTTCAGTATGTGATAAGATTTTATTTTCTTCATATTCATCCTTATTTCCCAGTGACTCACAGAGCAAACCTTCATTCATACCTATCCTTCTTTGTGTCCTTATCTCCCTTTTTAAATCCATTGAGTCTCATTAGTGTTGGGGATAGATAAAGATATAGGTATAGGCATAGGTAGATATAGTCTTCGTAGTATGGCCATTTACTGAAGCTTGTTAGAACTATCTGATGAGGTTGGAGAGATTCACTAATCTATGTGCATAGTGAAAGATCACAAGAAGTTCATTTAATGCTCTATCATATTAGCAGAGTAATAGTAGCAGGTTCTAATCTAAATTCTGTGGCTTGTCTAGCCATAAATTCTTAAATTTTTATTTCATTTTATTTGTTTATTTATTTTCCAGCCCAACTACAGTTTACCCTCTCGCCTCTCCTCGCACTCCCTCTCCCACACCTCCCCTCTGCTCCCACTAAACATCTCCTCCTTCATTTCTATTCAGATAATGACATGCCTCCCTTGGATATCAACAATATATGGCTTGTCAAGTTGTACTAAGACTACCCAACCATCTTGCCTTGTATCAAGCCTGGCAAGATAGCAGAAGATGGACAGACCTGCCATGCTCATGAATTAGTAGGCTTAACATAGTAAAAATAGCCATCTTACTAAAAACAATCTACAATTTCAACACAATCACCATTAAAATCTCAACACAATTTTTTACAGAACTTTAAAGAATAATACTCAACTTCACATGGAAAAACATCAAACCCAAGACAGCTGAAGCAATCCTGTACAATGAAAGAACTTCTGGAGATATCACCATCCCAGATTTCAAACTCTACTACAGGGCTAAAGTCATAAAAATGACATTGTATTGGCATAGAAACAGACAGGTGGATCAATGGAATCAAATTGAAGACCCAGAAGCAAATGCACACACTTAAGGACACCTAATTTTTGACAAAGAAGCCAAAAGTATACAATGGAGAAAAGAAAGCATCTTCAATAAATGGTGCTGATCTAACTGAATGTTGACACGTAGAAGAATGCAAATAGATCCATATCTATCCCCATGAACAAAGTTCAAGTTCAAGTGGTTCAAAGACATTAACATAAACCCAGACAAACGGAACCTGTTAGAAGAGAAAGTGGGGAATATCCTTGAATGCATTGGTATAGGAGAATACTTCCTGAATAGAACACTAATAGTACAGACACATTATCTTTATCTATAAATTGCATTAATTTTAGGCCATTTTAATCATGTATCAGTATATAATAGGTATTTTGATGAAATATGAAAATAAGCATAGGATAGTGGAATTTTAAAATCTGAAGCTATAAATGCTAAACATTCTTGTTTTGTATAGTACTATATAATCTCAACACTATGGATATATCTGCTATATAATAAAATATTTCTACATATTACTGTACCTAAGAAATTTATCCACAACATGAATGTTATCTAAATACATTTTATTCAACTTTCAAAAGTACAATCTTTAATAGCAATGTCTTTTCATGTGGATTATCTATATTAAAATATTAAAATTGAACAAATCGAAAGACAGTATATGCAATGTTTTCAGTCTCTATATGACAGTAAATCATATTCTCAAAAATTTTTGCCCATTGTCTTTCATAATCAAACATCTGAATGACTGAAATTGATTGAAAATGTTTGACAGAGGATGCTAAGACAGGAGTGATGAAGAGAAAACAAGCTATTTTACATACTTACTACAACATCATAAAACATGGAGCTACAGAAATGAAGAAAATGTGATTAAAATAACAAGATATGAAGACATTGAATTGGTTTAATCTATAGAATTAAATAAAGAACAAGTACTTATTCAGTGGGAATTATAAATATGCAAAACTTAATATATAACACATTAAAACGACGTTTAAAACAGAAGTCCATAGAACTTTATTTTACAAGCAATGGTATATAATGATTCTTTTACTACTCATAGGAAAAATGTGAACTGTTAGCCATGTGATCTTGTTTCCAATTTGGCAATAAAATATAACATTACATAAGGTATATTGTGTTAGTTTAGTTTAAATTTCAAATTTTGCACTTTTTTTCATTTTTAGTCAACATTATGAGTATAAAGCATTGCCAAAAGAATCTCAGAAGCAGATACTGGTTTGCTACACATGTCAGACACTTAACCTGAGTGCCTTTCTTTTTCTTAGCCTTAAAAACAACCAGGCTAGAGCTGTGATATACCGGAGTTAATCCTTGTGCCAGTAGAGTTCAAAGTATCAAGTTTAATTCAGGACCAACAGATTCTCCATCTTCCTTAATCTTTCCTCTACCTGTTTTACAAATGCCGACCAAATCATATGTTTCTTCCTACAGAGTCTCTCAATCTATATATAATAATGGCATATATACATACAAAAAAGGTACCAAGGCTATTCTGGTTGTCAATGTAAACAATCTTGTGTATCACAAATAAGAGGAAGGTTATTTAAACACTGATCATATGCCTCTAACCATTTCTAATACAGCTTCTATGGCCTCTTCAATAGCTTACAGTCGTGGATTTCTTATAGCACTTTCATGGTAAACAAACTTAGTGACAATATGTACATCCAGGCATACAAGCTTTCATGTGGCAACCACTGAAAGAGTCAAAACAGAAAGAAATCATAAATGTTCATAATTTGGGGTTGTTGTACGTATCTCCTACAGTCTTTAATAGCAATGTCTTTTCATGTGGATTACATGATAGAATTCAGATGTACAAAGATAGAATCATTTCTCTGAAAAGTAACATCACCACGGAGACTCAAAAAGACACAAGAAGCAAAAGAACACAATTGTTACTGTGATCTCTTATTTGATCCAGCCAATCTTTAGTTGATTTCCCATTACAGACGTCTTACAAGTTCCCGACTAGTCTGGTTTGATATCTGTAAATTAGGCGTGCTTAATTCAGTGCTATTTCTATTGGAAGAATTACGAAAATTACAGCGTGCTAAAGAGTGGAGTAGGGCTTCTCGGGCTTTGGATGCCTCTATGTTCTGATCTTGAGAGATTTGAAGGCTAATTTGATTAACATTATTCATCAGTATATTAGAAGCCAGGAGGTTGGTTATAGAGAGACACCTGGTAAGGTTTTCTTCCAAAAACTGTTTGTAGAGTTCATCCACCTTTTTTTCCATATAACTATTAAGCATAGAATTAGAAAGGGGTTGCTTATGTAAGAGCATGCTCTTTTCTCGAACCTCATCCCCATTTAACAATTTTGAAGCGGTTGTTTTCTCCAGAGGCCCCATTTTAGGAGAGTGGCCTAATGGCATATCCACTGAAAGTAAAAGAGGACCATTACAGACATCATCATGGGCATGTTCCACAAAGCAGCCAGAATCATACATGTTTCTAACGTGGTCACCTCCTATCTGTAGGTCAGGATAATTCTGGCAAATACTTGTACAGGACCAAGACCGATATAAATCCAGTTGTATTTCATCATGTCCCCTCTTTGGAATGGGCAATGCAATGGATACATTTCCTGGAAGAGGTGTACTTTTGAATTTTGTAACAGGTAACTCATCCACAGATTTCATTTGAGATGTGTTATCTTCTTTAGTTAGACTTCCTTCTACAACTTTCTCTTGATTTCCCATCTTAAGAGGGGGAGGTGAATTGTTCTGTATATCTAGAAGATTATTTTCCCAATTTTCCTTTTCATCATTTGGTGTCTTCTTACATCTTAATGGTTTATGAAATTTTGCGTGTTTATGTTCTTTGTAAAAGAATTCTGTTAGGAAGGCTTCTCCAAGCATTTTCTTAGGCAAGTTCTTCTAACAATATGTGTGGATTATATTCCTACAATATAAAAGACCTAATTAAGGCAATTCACAGTTAAATTCCAATAAGAATTTTCTCCTACACAAACCGTATTTTTGAGAAGAACTCTTGCTCAAATAACAGAGAATAAGACTAGAAATATGTTGATTCCTTCTTACTAATGTTTACCAATCAGGAATTTACTTATTTTTGGCTCTCAGTTTTCTCAACAGTTAAAAGATAATATTACCCCCTACCTTTTCCATGGGTCTGTTGTGAGGATATTACATAGCACCATACAAGTGTTTAAAAAGCACAAACTCAGGGGTGTGGATAGCTCTCGATGTCAGCTGTCTTTTAGTATTTATTTAGAAATTGCTAACTTCCTGTCCAAAAGTCCACTTATAATACTCAACACTCATGAAAATTCTTTGAACTAAGCCATAAACATAGCTATCTATTTTTTTAATAATGCAGGTCTCTCAAATTTACTATTTTTTTCTTTCCCTTTCTTCTTAAGTTTTTCTTTTTCTTCTTTGGCACTCAAATCTTTATTCCTTATTCACTTATTTCATTCATTTTTTTATACCACTCATTAATGTAATTTTAAAAATTTTAAATTTCCCTATAAACTACTATGTAAAAAGCCAGGCATGTAAGTTCACACCTGTAATCCCAGCAAACAGCCGGCTGAGACAATAGTATCATAAACTCAAGGTCAGCCTAGGCTAAGTGGCAAAACCTGCCTCTTACATACCAAGATAAAAATAAACTCTGTAAGAATGAAAAACATCATTCACTTTTACTCGAAATGCAGCTTTCATCTCACAAGTCTACGGCATATATTACACACGTTTCCAGGAAACCCATTTATGCTAAAGTTTGAAAGAATTTAAGAAGAAATTCAAACAACACAAATCAAACTAAATAAAAGTTTGAACTTACGATGTTTTCCAAATATCAGGATACGAAAGAATTTGATCTTCTGAGATGTCGACAGTCCAAACTCAGAAAATAGTCCTTTCTGTCTGGTTTGCGTCTTAGTGTCTGCTTACATCTTCCAAAGGAGGACAGCTTTAGTCACATAAATTGGTTCTGCTTTCCGTTCACACCCAGGACTAAAACCCTAGTAGGAAAATGATGTGGGTTGGTCCCATGTGTGGTACGGTAATGACCATGTACCAAAAGAGGATCTGAAAGTGTTTGTTCAAGTTCCCAGTGACAGAGAGTGGGAAAAGGCTAACAGCGACAGAGTTCTTCATGTACGTCAAGACAGAGACAAAATTATTTTCACTTTTAAGTAGGACTAGAGTGGAACGGTCTCAGCATCGTTTGTAAAAAATAATTTGAAAGAAACCAAATGAGCATCAAAAAGAAAATCAATTAATAAATTGTGATACAACTATGACATGAAATACTAAATTAAGCATTTCTTTAAAAACTGAAACTATTTTATTAGTTCTTTCAAGGGTTACACCTTTGAAAAAAAAACTGTCTCTCCCTCCCTCCTCCCCAGAACTCACCAACTGTCAATAGATCTTTAGTTACGGTTGGGGGAGGGAGTCATTAGCCACTCTGCCCTTCAGTTAGAATGTTGACTAGCTTGATCTTGTACAGGTAACCACAGCTTCTGTGTACTCGTGAGTGTACTGCCAGGTCCTGTCCAGAAGACACAATTTTCCTCGGCTCCCTCCTATTCTCTAGATGTTACAATCTTTCTCAATCTTTCTATGCCTTCTTCCACGATGGTCTCTGAGTAAATGGAGCATTTCTAATGATTTTTTTATACTTAATTGATTGTTTATTTTGTTGTTTGCAACAGGTAGCACCGGTTGAGCTGGAATATGCTATGGAGGCCAAATCGATCTTAAACTTGTGACAATCCTCTTGCCTTTGCCTCCTAAGAGTCAGGATTATAAACATGTGTCAACTATCAACACATGTGGCTACATGACAATCATTCTAAATTATCATATAGATTATTAATTCAAGAAACATTATCCATTTTACAGAGGAAACAAGGGCCGAGAAAGGGTCTATGAATTTTTTGGCTCTCACAAAACTAGTAAGTGATAGAATCCGAATTTTCAGCAACAGATCAAGAGCACTGCAGGATATGTTATGTACATGTGTAAAGTAGATGCACTGCAAGGGAATATACACAGTTTGACTCCACTGTGAATGTGTGTGCAATGTGTCAAACACTATTCAGAATATTCCACACATACCAACTTACTCTTCATAAAATTCCAGGGAACAAATATCATTTTTCCTTATAGAAAAATGAATCACAGGAACATGTTCAATCTCAGAGAAGTATAAGAAGTGGTTTGGGTTTGAATTCAAGAAGTTTTGAATCAGAACTTTCATCCTCAATTTCCTTGCTGAACTAAGTTTTGCTTTTCTTTGCCTTAATATATGTCAACATGCTGGTGGAAAAAAATGATACAAATCAAATTGTTTATAGTAGTTTCCTTTGTAAAGAATGTGGCAGGAAATAGGCAAAGGGATAATTTCACAACTTACTTTTCATATCTCTATATGAGTTGAATGCTTGTATAATTACTGTATATCTATGTTTTACTGGGATGTCTGAAAGACAAAATAATTCGCATACGTACAAAGTCAAGAAAAATGCTTCTATCATCTTTAGAATATGTCTTACCAACCTTACAAAGGTCTAATCCATTTTTGAATGCTTTTAAATAACACATAAAAACTGCCAAAGAAGATTGACAAGCAGTTTTAATATCCATTATACTTGGGGCTTGAATTAGTATTTCTTTTTGATTCTATTTAATAACATTAAATAAATCAAAAACAACCTATAGTTAGTTCTCATTTTGTATATGGCTCCAATCAACTCCTTTCAGGCTGTCAATTATCCTCCTGTGAGAAGTACTGCATTAGAAGAGCACCCAGTGACATGAGGAGATATGGCGATATCTCACACTAGGAGAGAACGGAAGAACTTAGAAGATATATTTTGTCAATGCCACCACAACGACCATTAAAAGAAAATAAGAACTTTCAAATCCCTCTTAATTCAGATTTCATCATTTTGGTTATATTGCATCTAGTTCATTCCCTTCAACCCTACATCTCACAGGTCCAAGTTATATCAATGTCCTGTCCTAAAGATGTCTACCACTCAAAACTAGCGCTACCTTTCCATACTTCAGTTACAATAGCTGATTCTAATCTTGTCCCCCATAAAATTTGCCATACTTGTTGATCTAACTTTTATATAAACCTAAAATCTTCAAAGCCTTCTGTTTACGCATGGATTAATAAGAATATATGAAATTTATAATTGTGTAAAATGCTCTTAGTCTTTTTTCATTTAACCATCACAGCAAATCTTCAAGCTCTAATTATCTGAAATTTTATACAATAGTAAAAAGTCTCAAAAGTACTAAAAATCAAAACTCAAAATGAAACCAGACTCTGTTTCCTCTGTTCAATCCAGTTTCCATCTTTTAATTTCTCCATGTGTTTCTAAATATCAAGTGACTTAGTTGCAAAGACTAAAAGCCAGAAATTATCACATTCAACAACCCTGCCATCTACTTGAAGCCTAATATCATGGATTTTTGTATACATTTGGATCCTAACATCTTACTGACCAGTGGTAACTGAACCAAAATGTCCAGCTTTAAAAAAGATAAGCTACTCTGTAAAATTTGCTACTAAAATGACAAAAAGATAGCCACTTATATATGTATTGTACTAATGACCTGAGATAAGACCAAGAACTTCCCTCTCAACTGCTGTGAGATTCCCACATACTTTTCAGCCTTGTGATCTCTTTGCTGTAAAATCATCATAGCATCTTTGCAATGTATTTCAATAAACCCTCAATTTCACTGTCTGTTTTCATCTGTGGTAAATATCTTTGGTAAACACATTTACAGCCTTCACATTACTGGTTTTTCTAGATGCCATAACAAGTGTAGCATTCATGAATGTTTCTTCTACCTTAAAATGCTTTATTCTCATATTTTTCCAGCACTATACATGCTTCAAGTTTGTTAAGTTCTGTTATTCCAGGATGCTTGCCTTGACCCACGTAGTATAGTTTGATTTTATCTGCTTTGTATTTATCGCGTTTTATAAATTTTCACTCAGTTCCTTGAAAATAAATATTTTGTCTTATCCATTGATGTGATCTCTAACAGTATGCCAAGTATAACACCCATATTAATAATACTTGTTTTCTGTACAACCTCTAATGAAGCCACATACTTTCACATAGTCAATTCATTTAGTCTTTAAAATTATATAGTCAGATAGGTGTAAATGTACCACATTTTCTTCATCCATTCTTCTGTTGAGGGGCATCTAGATTATTTTTAGGTTCTGGCTATTACAAATAATGTTGCTATGAAAATAGCTGAGCAAATGCCCTTGTGGTATGATTGAGCATCCTTTCTATATGTGCCCAAGAGTGGTATTGCTGTGTCTTGAGGTAGATAGATTCCCAATTTTCTGAGAAACCACCATACTGATTTCCAAAGTGGCTGTATAAGCTTGCACTCCCACCAGCAGCAGAAGAGTGCTTTACTTACTCCACATTCTTTCCAGAATAAGTTACAATCAGTGTTCTTTTTTATTTTAGCCATTCTGGCTGGTGTAAGTTGGTATCTCAGAGTTGTTTTGATTTGTATTTCCCTGATGGTTAAGGATGTTGAGCAACTCCTTATGGGGAGGAGGGAAGAGAACATGAGGAAACAGGATGGTCAAGTTGGGGGAAGGACAGAGAGGGAGGACAAGAGATATCTTGATAGAGGGAGCCCTTATGGAGCTAGAGAGAAACTAGGCACTAGGGAAATTCGCAGGAATCCACAAGGATGACCACAGCTAAGACACTAAATAAGGGACGAAGAGGGAGTGGGGGGAGTGGGAGGATGTTGGGAAGAGGGGCGGAAATGGAAACTTTTATAATTTAATAAAATTACTTTCAAAAAAAAGAATAGTGGAGAGGGTGCCTGAACTGGCCTTTCCCTATAATCAGATCGATGGCTACCTTAACTGTCATCATAGAAATTCATCCAGTACCTGATGGAAGCAAATGTAGAGATCCATGATTAAGAACAGGCTCTGAGTGTCCAGTTGAAGAGAGGGTGGAGTGATAATATAATCAAAGAGGTCAATACCATGATGAGGATACCCATAGAAACAGCTGAAGTGATCTAGTGGGAACTCACTGACTCCAGACAGGGGAACCTGCATAGGACCCAACTAGGCCATCTGAATGTGGGTCACAGCTGTGCGACTGGGGCAGTGTGTGAGGCCACTGGCAATGAGACCAGGATTTATCCCTAGTGCATGAAGTAACTGGCATTTTGGAGCCCATTCCCCATGGAGGGATACCTTGCTGGGCCTAGATATAGAAGGGAGGGTCTTGGTATTGCCTCAAGTGATATGACAGACCTTGTTGATTTCCCATGGGAGGCCTCACCCTCTCTGAGAAGTGGATGGGAAGATGGGGTGGAGAGAAAGGGGGAAGCGGGAGGAGGAGAGTGATGGGGAACTAGGATTGTTTTGGAAAATGAGAAAAGATTGCTGTAAAATAAAAAATAAATTCTTAGATAGGTACCACATCCTCACTGCAACAAAAATGGAAAGTTAACAAACTCATTTGCACCTCTTTCTCCTTCAAGTCTAGGTTGTAGCTCTCTATGCATGTAAGCATGACCTCAAACTTCTGCTATTCCTGCTTGCATCTCCTTCTGTGTGCTGGCATTGCAGATGTGTGCCACAGCACTGCTACACGTGCTGCTAGACACGAATCCAGGACCTTAGAAGCACTCTACCACGTGAGTTACCTGTCCAGCCACAAAGCCATTCCGCTTCGTGGATAGAGTCATCTAATACAATATCGTCTTAAAGAAAAAATAGGATACTTAAGACCTTAACTCTCATTATATATCCACTTTTGGCAAACTCCTTAAGGTACAAATGTTATCCGTATCTTCCACAATTAAAATGACAAAACCAGGGGCTGGAGAGATGGCCGTTTATAAACATGTACTGAGACCACAGTTCGATTCCCAACATCAGTGTCTGGTGGCTCCCAAGTGGTTGCCTGTAACTACAGGTCTCTAGGGGTTTCACTCCCATGCACATGCCTTCACACAGGCACAGATATATAATTAAAAATAATTGCTATAAATCTAAAAATTGTTGTAACTAGACAATATACACTGATAAAATGAACTGTGAGTATTTCGAAGAGGAAGCAGACTTTTTACATGGGGAGCAAAGGGGGCGGTGGAGAAGAGGAAGTACTGAGAAGGACATGGACTATTGCACAAATTAAGGGTTGGTTGGCCTCAAGAGGGAAGAGGCAAGCCTGCAAAGCACATTTCAACAGGGAGCTTAGTGGGGGAAAAGAAGAGAGAACTCTCCTGGGTTAAGAGTGGGGGAAATGTTTCTATGTCGGTAATGTCTTGCCTGGATCTATTTGTACTGTCCTTACAAATTAAGACAACGCAAGTTTATTAGTCTCTTTTCGTCACATGCCACACTGTATTTTAAAGATTTTCCTGTCCCAGAGGAGGCCTTGGTGGCCAGCAAGGAAGCAACTGGCCTCCCTTCCTAAACAGAGGAGAGGAAAGACCTAGCAGCACTGTAGAGTGAATTTGTTTTCCCTCTTCCACCCCAGCACTTGGCAGCTGGGCTGAGAGGTGTTAGCCAGTATGTGTCGCTCTAGGGAGCACAGTCTCCTCTCCCCTCCCTTCAGGGCAGGTGGGTGGGTGGAGCTTTCTGCCCTCTGGTCACTAGGCACCAGCTTTCCTCAGAATGGGCACCAGCCTGCACCACAAGGGGCATTTGCTCCTTAGCCAATCCTGAGTGCAGGCCCTTAGCAACCCTCACAAAGAAAGCAAGGCTCAGCCGGGCTCCGTGTTCTGTCTTCAGGAAGCCAGTCCCCAGTAAAGTGTTGACCTGTTACTTTTGAAGAGTAACAGCGGACTGGAAACCATGAGTAACATTAAAATATATTATGCCAGCGTGTCAGGATCTAGGGAGGTGAGTGGGAAGGGCCTCAGCTGGAGGGAGGAAACAGGAGGGGATTAGAGCGAAACTGTGTAGTCGGACTTCCAGATTTTGCTTAGACTCTCATAGCCTTTCTGCCTTTTGAAGTTTGATTTTATTTTACTGTGTTGCATGAACGTGGGCCATGTAAGGACTTACCAGATGGGTGCTTAGTTCTCTTATTCAGGTTGTCTCTAAGAATTGGTTGATGTTGCAAGTTTCTGGTATCTTGAACTCAACTACCTTAAAGAATCCAATCATTTTGTCAATACTTAAAATGTACAAGAAATAGTGAACTCCATTTAGAATGGAAGAGAAAAAAATGACAGTTATTGTAGAGCCAAAATCCCCAGAGAAAACCAAGCAACCCATAAAGGGGTCAATTGTTTATTTCTAAGAAGTCTATGTATTTGTATAAGTCACAAATTAAAGTTTACATGAATTATTTTATAGAACAGAACTTCTCAATAGAAACATAATGAAAGCCACTTATGAAACTTTAAATTTATTAGTAGTCATTAGTAGTCATCTAAAAAAGAAATGATTGAGACAAATTTTAGTATATTTAACACAGAATATTCAAAATATCATTGCCAAATGCAATCTTTCTGAATGCTGGCAAGGTACATGTTCTTTTATCACATTGTCTTCAAATTTAGCATGCACTGTGCTCACATAAAAACTGGGGGATTAGAACTTTTGCCGTTAAATTTATCACTTTTCCAACAACAAATAAATAGTTGCCAAGCATTCATTATGCCCTTGCTGCCTGCCATACCCTCTATCTAAAAGGAGGAATGAGATTTTATCTCGGCCTAGGAAAAATAGATTGCTGTTATATAAAGCCTGGTCAAGGGTGTTAGCGTTTTTATACAAAAATGGAAAGTTTAAAAACTTTTAAAGAAAGTTGAGATATTTCACTAGTTTCCAAAGAAACAGCATGTGCCTTATATGCTATTGGGTATCACAGTCTGTAAAAGTCGATGATTTCAAGTAAGAACCACAAAGAATGCAATACACTAATGCTGATCTCCGACACTCAAACAGTTGCATAACCATCATCCGGCAGGGATGGCTAGAACGGATTGTTCCTGGTACTATCCTCAGCATTGCTAATACTGTAGATTTGAGGTGGAAGTGATGCTGATGCTGCCAGACTGTGAGTCATGCATGGAATATCACTGTTCTATGCAACCATTCTCTTAATGGGTTCATCTGGGAAGACTGAGAAAAATACAAGATGATGGCTTAAGTCTCATGCAACATATTTTGCAATTTAAAGAAGCAATGAGAAAGTGAAAACATTGAATTTTGGAGTTTTAGAAATGTTTCTGCTGTCTTTTGAATACAGACAAGCGTTTTTGAAGTGTGACTGAGTTACACCTTTGAACATCAAACAAAAACCTTACTGGCATTCACTTTTACAGAAATCCCACTTCAGTAAGTTGGGGTTGGGGCTTGTCCAATGCTTTTCACATTCTGGTATCAGAAATAATATTTGACAAAATTACTCAAGATACCACATGAAAACACAAGAACCTCAACTTTGCCGAAATTTATGTTGTGGTTATTCAGTTTTTGGTTATAAAGTAAGTTTAGGAAAACAACCAGCAGTCGTAATTTTACTTTAGCCAGAAAGGAAGCAGAAAGGAAAGTCTGACAAACATTCTGTTAGTATAGGGTACAAATTTTGGCAATTCAATCACATAGCACACATTAGCCATTTTTGTCCTTTCACTTTTTTAGAGCTTAGCTTCATGAGGGAGGGAATTTTTCATTCTATTTTCTGATTTAATTCCTGATTATTGTTTTCCCTATTTGATATGTAGACATGTAGACACACAGGTTGTTTTCAAAGCAAGATCTCAAGAAGTGATCCAAGCTGGCCTAGAAATTGATCACTATGATCATCTTTTTTATTTTTAGTATGTATTGATTGTACAAACATATATATATATATATGTATACATATATGAGTTTTCTTATATTGCCACACATCTTTTTAAAAAAAATCTGTGGTTCTTTTCAGTTTCATATTGTGCAATGTGTGTGTGTGTGGTGTAACATAATATGACCAATATGTTATATATATTATATACATATACATATATATATATATAAACATGATCTAACAACAAAATTGACTAATTGTTTTTGTACCCAAACTTGCCATCGACAATGGCTGTAATTCTTTCATAACATAATGAATAAGCAAGACAACAAAACATAAAAGATATTAGAGCAAATCAATGAAGAACTTTCTATATCTTTTTTACTATTTAGGTAAAACAGAAGCAAAGTGAAGTTATGAGGATTTTTGATTCTTACAACATTAAGTACGAGTTAATTGACATAACTGTCAGTCCCCAAGCACTGGAAGAAATGCGGACTAAGGCTGACTCTCCTATGGCTGCACCACCTCAGATATTCAATGGTCCAGAATATTGTGGAGTAAGAATAAATACTTGTTTAGTTAGTTATATTTCATAACTTAAAGTCATATATGTGGGTAAAAATCAATGTATGAGGTATGAAAGTCAGGTTTACTTATCTACAGAATAACTTAATTGTGTTTCTAACAAGATAACAATATTTAATTCTAAAAAGATTGTCACTGCTTGGCGAGAAATAATTAGGTATGTTTTTTTTATCATTCTTTATGATGTCCAGTAACTGATATTCTGGGGAAATGATCTACCTTTCTTAGCAGAAGTTTGCGAAAGTCTGGGCATAATAATTAGCAGGCAACACTTGAATTTAATTGTAGTTAAGAATGATCACAACTGATTAACTGCAATTTCGTTTCTAGGATTTTGATACGTTCCACTATGCCAAGGAGAACAAGGAGATTCTGAAGTTCCTGAAGATGGAGGAAATGGAGAGTGATGGCACCACTTCTTCCTCTTAACTGTAGAACAGCTGCTCCATTAAAACAGCTGCCAAAGCTAACGGGCTCCTACTCTCTCAATGTTTCAGTAATAGGATTTTTAAACTGCACATTTTAAAGATTTGCTTTTATTCCCCCCACCTCTCAGTGTGTGTAGGGGGTGTACCCAAACACACACACACACACACACACACACACACACACACACACACACACA